TTTTTCTGAAAAAATTCAGCGCGATTCCTCGACAAAAGCTCTGCTCTCTCTCCCTAAAAATTAAGATCCCCAACTCTCTCTCACCAAAAGCTCAGATCCCTATTTTCTCAAGTCCTCTTCCTCCCCCTCTCGATCTCTCCTTTACGAGCTCCAGGCCCCCACTCCTCCGCATTCGATCTCGCTCACACCGACCAGCTCCACGAGATCCACGAATCCCTCCTCCACGAGCTACAGTGCGCCGCTAAGAGCTCCTCCTCCATGAGATCCACTCCCCCGCCACGAGCTCCTCCTCCACCAGATCCACTCCCCCGCCGACCGAGCAGCGCTTTTCCCTCGCGATCCGTCCGCTAATGTAGGTCATTTTCTATTTTCTCTCCAATTTTCCGTTCATCAGCACATCCCCCATTAATTTTCCATTCATCAGCATATCAGCAACAAATAGGTAAAGTTGAATAATGGTTTTTTTGAAGTACTGTTGACTTGTTATGGGTTGAATGGGTCTGCTTACGTAAAAGTTTATGAATGAGCTAGAAACATTTGGGACCAAATGTTTATTACAGAGTTTAAAACTATAAAAGAAGCCCCCATTACAGAGTTTATTACAAAATTTAACCAGCTTGTCTCAAAAAGAAAAATTACATGTCTGGATATAGAAATAAGTTGAAGAAGGTGTGAGCGAATCCTCTTCACAAATTTTCGACATCAAATCCTTTGCATGATTCCTTCTTTCAAAATATTTTATCAACCAATTTCTATTATTTTCTTACCATATATGGACACAAACGTGAAGAAGTTATGTACATGAGTCAATCATGATAATAGTTATAAATTCATGTATTTTTCTTATTGAGTCTTGGTTATAAATTCATGTATTTTATTCACGGGCATTTCAGACATTTTATATGCTGATGACTATAGTAGATTTACACTAGATTGTTTTGAGAGTTTAAACTGAATTAATACTTATGAAGAAGCTTATAACTATTATAACCATTACGCATTGTTGATGGGTTTTGGAATAAGGAAGAGCACGGTAAATTATTCGAAGAAGACAAGAGACATGCTAGACAGAAAGTTTGTTTGTGATAAGGAGGGCTATAGATCTAATAGAGATAAGATGGAGATGCCTTTTCGGCGAGAGACCCGAGTGGGATGTAAGGCAATGATGAGAGTTAAAGTATTGGAGGACAAATCGTGGGAGGTCACGGGGTTTGTTGAAGAACATACAAATCATGTGTTGAGTAGTCCAGACAAAGCAAAGATGCACAGATCACACCAACAATTCCATAAATCTCAAAGTTGTAAAAAACTTATTGAGAGTTTGCAAGAAGAAGGTATGCCTCCATCCACTATTTCTCACGTCATTAATGTAACCACTGGAAGAGAAGGCGAATTAGTGACACCACAACAGTGTATTGATCACATCAGATACCAAAGAGTAACCACTGGAAGAGAAGGCGAATTAGTGACACCACAACAGTGTATTGATCACATCAGATACCAAAGAGTCAACAATATTGGCCATGAATGCATATCTATCATAAAACATTTTCAGAGTATGACAGTGAATGATCTAGAATTCTATTTTGCAATAGAAGTGGACAGTAGTGGACAAATGAGGAGTGTTTTCTGGGCTGACGGAAGATCAAGAGCGCCTTATTTGCAATTTAGTGATGTTGTTGTGTTTGATGTGACATACAGAACTAATAAGTTCAGTCTTCTATTTGCTCCATTTACTGGTGTGAATCATCATAGGCAGTCCACTTTACTTGGTTTTGCATTATTAGCTGATGAACAAGAAGATACATTTGTGTGGTTATTTGAAGAATGGCTTAAATGCATGCATGGGGTTCAACCAGGTGCTATTATAACAGATCAGGATAGAGCCAAGTGTAATGCTATTCACTCTGTGTTTCCAATGACAAGACACCATTATTGCTTTTGGCACATGAAAAAGAATATTACCGATCACTTGCCTACTTTGGCTTCTCGTTATGGTGAACAGTTTCAAAGGTATTGGGGTTTATGGTGTAATAGTTCTTCAATTGAACAGTGTGAAGGATATTGGCTAGAGATGAAGGAGAATTTTGATATAAATGAAGAAGGGGATGGATGGTTGCAAAATGTTTACAAATATCGAGAACATTGGGTGTCATGTTATTTGAAGGACACTTTTTTTGCTGGAATGAGATCGAGCCAAAGAAGTGAAAGTATTAATGCATTTTTTGATGGGTATGTTAACTCACAAACTCAATTACACGAGTTTGTTCTACAATATGAAAAAGCATTAACTCATCGTCGCATAAGTGAAGCCCATGAAGATTTCAAGAGTCTTAACACAAAGCCTGTCATGCTCCTTGGGCATCCGATTGAGGTCCAAGCTGGAGAAATGTATACATGTAACATGTTTGATGTGTTCCAAATAGAATTCAAAGGATTTGCTATAGAGTTTTGTGAAGAATTGAGAAAAGATGGGGACATTGTTGAATACAAGATTAGTAAGTTTGTAGATAGAGGAAAATGGGAGGTGGTTACTTATGAACAATCCAGTAAGATACAGTTTATTTGTACATGTGCTCTGTTTGAAACTAATGGTGTTGTATGTAGACATATATTGTCGCTAATGATGGCTAGGCAAATTTCTTCATTACCCGAGCATTACATCCTACACCGTTGGACTATACATGCTCGACATCGTAACATTGGCGTTGGCAATATTGTATTTGGAAGAAACATCACAAGTTGTGAAGAGAAGATTAATTTGTTGAAATCTTGGGCTTTAAGAGCAAAATTCAATAATGTGCTCGAGCTTACATTTGATTCAGAAGAGAGGATGCAGAAATTAGATAATGTGCTAACAAATTTCTTAGAATCACTTGAAGAAGAACTTAAAGAAACAGAAGATAATCATCAGATTTCCGCAACAATTTCTCATACAATGGAGAACATTCCTCAGATTACAGTTCATGATCTTGAAAAACCTGCAAGGACTAAAGGTCGTCCACGCAATGCTACTAGAATTCAGTCAGGCTTAGAACAAGCACAAGAAAAGAAAGAGAGGAAGAAGCGTATATGTGCTACTAGAATTCAGTCAGGCTTAGAACAAGCACAAGAAAAGAAAGAGAGGAAGAAGCGTATATGTAGCAGATGTGGTGAACTCGGGCATTATAGAGGAAGAAGCGTATATGTAGCAGATGTGGTGAACTCGGGCATTATAGAACTAGCTGTAAAGTCAACTTGTCAATGTACAATTAATTTTTTTCCATATGTAGCTTTTTCATGAATTTCTTATATGTAGCAGATATGTAGTAGTATTCTTACCCATTGTCCTCATACCACTTAACTGATTATTGTATGTTGGCCATCTTCATTCAATATTGGCCTCATACCACTTCACTGATTATTTAATGTTGGCCATCTTATTTTGTCTTCATTCAATATTGGCAACATAAACTGCATGCTTAGCAACCATTAACAATGTTATATATTCCCTTACAATCCCTCATGCTGCTAACCTAATTTGAAATTTGCAGGGATTTATAAAATTTGCAGCTAACCCAATTTGAGGAGAAGAAGAGGAATCTTGTGAGAAGATGAGGAAACAAAGAAGAATTAGCAATGGATTATGTCATGTCTTTAAACTGTTGACAGAATTTTTAATTTCAATGAACTACTGTTTTCAAAGCCAGAAATGTAATGTAAGATAAAACTTCGGGAATTATGAGTTTTATTGTGGTTGTTCAAAGCTGGATTGTAGAGTATTGCAGGCTTTAGAAAATAAAATGGCTTAGCAGCATGAGGGATTGTTGGATAGATGCTAAAAAATAAAAATAAAATGGCTTAGACTATGACAGGAGATAGCAGTATGTCCAGTCATACGCCCAACAAGGTGAATTGAGAGGCATGTGATTTCAGTTTAATTTCATGGAAAATTACGGTTTTATGCTTGATTTGCAAATAAGAGCACAAATTTTAAAGAAATGGCAAGCGAAAGTGGGTTTTCCTACATCATAAGCATTAACAAATTTTCAAGAAAAAGAGTTTGGCTAGCAACAGACCATGCCTTTCCCCCCTACCAGCTGCCACTGCTGGCTGAAAGAAAATGCCAAAGTAGTTAAAGACATTGAATCCTTGTTAAAGATTTCTCACTAAAACGAGAGAACTATTTAAGTCCATACGCTTCACTCCTAGACAGTGCACATGTTAAGAAAACTTCAATTGGTTTAAGTGTCCGCATGATATATAATTAAGACCTCAAAAATAAAAACACAGGTAGTAATAGCAAAAGAATAAGAAAGGATACCATACATCAGTGTCAGTAAGAACTTTACAAAATGATTACACGCTGAATTAAATTAAATGTAGAAGGATATCAATGGTGCTACACAAGATTAAAATTCATGGGACAACATACATATAAGTGCGTTAAGAAGGACATGGATACATAAAACCATATGCCAAGGACAGCATACATAAAATTCATGGGACAGCATGTACATTTCAGGACTTAAATGACAAGAATACATAGGATAGAAACATTCAACTTTCACTATGGCATAAAACAAGCCATTATGGCATTATCTGATACAATAATGAAAGTTTACCATCATATACATATATATTACAAGGGTTCACCTTGAATATGACATAAAACAAACTACCACAAACAAGCTCACACTTGAGTACAAACTAAGTAGAAAATGATCCAAGTTATGCAAGCTTATTCTGACATTGAAAAATCATACACGAATCACATCAAGTGTTTCCCCCAATAGAGAAACCAACACATATTGCAACAATACATACTAGAAATATTAAAATTGTAAACACTGAACCTAATACAAAAGCTTGGATGGAGGAAATAGCAGTTTCCCCAAGTGGTCCCTTGTCCTCAATAAGATTATGCCCCCCTGGAAACCCTTGTTCTTGAACACAAACAGGTGGCTGCACATGCCTTGAGATGGATGCTGAATCACGTGCGCTTAAGTGCTTCTCCCATTCACTCAAAGCCTCTTCATATGTTGCATACCCTTTGTAGGAGGCGTTTGGGAATCTATCAACTTGAGATTTGCATTCATCCCAATTATAAAATATGCCACAACGTCTACCTCTCTTTACAACATAAAAACTCTTTCTTGCCATTATATCACCTACAAATTTGTGCCGTAAAAAGATATTATCAATGGATTAAATACAAGCAAATGTTCAAGATGCAGTTCTATATATAGTGTAGCATTATCTGAAATGAATGAGCATTAACAATGGAAAAAAGACAAGCAAATCTACAAGATGCCAAGGAGCATGAATTTCAAATGATGAGCATTTTCTAAAATATATATACCAAAGTAAGCATTTGACAGTCCTCAATCCACCAAACGAAAACAAAATAAAGGAGCTCTCCTCTAGAATATGCCCTTATGAAAGCAAGCATTCGCCAGTCCTCAATCCACTAATGTTGGCTGATTTGTTATGAAATAAATTATGCGCTTACTTAGAATATTTGAAATGCAAAAAAAAATTAAACTGCTGCAACTAGAAATTGATCATCACTAACTAGAGTCACATGTCACAATACACTTACAGTTTGAATCTAATCACAAGAAAATTATTGAATTACATGAACTAAACCCACATAACAACAGAAATGGACATAAAAACTACCAAACCAATCAATTCAGTCTACAACCAGAATTGACAACCCCAACTGCAATTGTTTCTAGCTCATAATGAGGAATATATATGTTACAAAATTGACACTCTTATAATCTGACAAAGGATAACTCTCATCATGAGGAATTTATATGTGCTGATGAACGAAAAATTGGAGAGAAATTAATTAGAATTATAATCTGACAAAGGATAACCTGGACATTTTACCATTTCATATAGCATCAATATGGGTATTAGTTGAAAAAAAACTCAAACTTAAAGTGGTCTTCTGTAATGGGGGCTTCTTTTATAGTTTTAAACTCAAATGGGGGATTTGCTGATGAACGGAAAATTAATAGGGGATGTGCTGATGAACAGAAAATTGGAGAGAAAATAGAAAATGACCTACATTGGCGGACTGGATCGCGAGGGAAGAGCGCTGCTCGGTCGGCGGGGGAGTGGATCTGGTGGAGGAGGAGCTCGTGGCGGGGGAGTGGATCTCGTGGAGGAGGAGCTCTTAGCGGCGCACTGTAGCTCGTGGAGGAGGGATTCGTGGATCTCGTGGAGCTGGACTGGATCGCGAGGGAAGAGCGCTGCTCGATTGGCGGGGGAGTGGATCTCGTGGAGGAGGAGCTCTTAGCGGCGCACTGTATCTCGTGGAGGAGGGATTCATGGATCTCGTGGAGGAGGGATTCATGGATCTCGTGGAGCTGGTCGGCGTGAGGGAGATCGAACGCGGAGGAGTGGGGGCCTGGAGCTCGTAAAGGAGAGATCGAGAGGGGGAGGAAGAGGACTTGAGAAATTGGGGATCTGAGCTTTTGGTGAGAGAGAGTTGGGGATCTTAATTTTTAGGGAGAGAGAGCAGAGCTTTTGTCGAGGAATCGCGCTGAATTTTTTCAGAAAAA